TCCGACGTCAACAACAAACTCCAACTCCCCCCCGACATGAGCCGCGTCCACCTGGTCTTCCAAGTCGAATACTTGAAAGAATATCATGAATCCCCACCTCAATTCGCTGACCGCCCATATCCTAGACCTCCACCTATCATGTTACCCACAGGCCCTGAATTCGTTGTTGAAGCAATCATAGGTCGATGAACTACTCAGGTATCTGACCACCCGGAACCAATCAGTGAATACAAAGTCAAATGGACCGGATACCCCGACGAAGAATCTACATGGGAACCTCTCTCGAATCTCAAGAATGCCATGAAACTTGTCCGCGCCTATGATCGTGCTACTCCTATGTCCTAGACACCCACGTAACTACAACCCTAAACCCATGTATAAACCTTGCTACGACCTCGCAACCCCGTTCTACACACACCGTTGAACTCAGTCCACCCTCCCCTCGACCCCGATTCCTCATGTCTGATCTGCCCTTGCCCTCGCCTAGCCTTGTCCCATCTGTCCTCTCCAGTACCTTGTCTCTCTTGTCCAAGGCTTGTGAACCTGCGCGATGCCGGCGATAAAGGATCTAATGGCTAGCGCACGAGGACGATGGCCTGCTGCCTCACTGTTCATGGAGATTATGCAGCTGGTTTAGCCACCATGCTGTTTCATCGGCTGGCATCCCGACTCGTGGCCTTCCTAGAGCAGCAACTTATGATATGGATTTTTGCATCAGTCTGCGACCTCCTTGCTTCCAAATCAGACCTCATTGCAGTTCATGTACCGGACACACCCTAGCACTTGGACTCTGGACATTTGAACTACTGTTACGCTTCTTGGACGTCTACTTGTCGCAGCCGCTGAAGACCGGTTCTACCACCTACTCCAAGACCTGATCAAGACCGCTGCAGATCCCCTTTCAAGACAGTTGGACACTTTGTCCCCACATGAGATTCTGCTTCCGACTCCTTCGGACACACCAGCCCTTGCCTCCTGAACAAACATTTTCATTTTGATTTTTTTCCTGACTTTGACAACCCTGTAGAACATCATTAGCAGATCCCTGTTTCCCTGACCATTGTTCCCCTTACCCAGTAGAACATCAATAGAAATTCCCTGTTCCCCTGACCATTGTTTCCCTCACCCACTAGAACATTAATAGAAATTCCCTGTTTTCCTGAACATCGTTTCCCCCTACCCAGTACATCAATAGAAATCCCCTGTTCCCTGAACATTGCTCAGCTTCCCCTATAGACCCACCCAGTCACATCATACCTTCACCTGTGCAGAACACCAGACAGAATACGCTGTGACTTGCATCACTCCCTTTCTCCTTCTCTGACCAGTGATCGGCCCCCTCCCGTCCTTCACAGCTCTTTTTGTTTCCTTGGCGTTTTGGCAGACGGGACGTTGCCTTTCAAAGGGAGGGGATAGTGTTACGGACTCCGCCAGGGCTCGATCCCTGGTCTATCTTTTTGCTGTTTCTGCTGCATCCCGTTTTCGGCCTGGCACCCTTTTTTCCGAACTCCTCCTTTGGTACCGTCGGATTTTGGACAACTGGCGCCATGCTGCAATTCAGGCGCCACTTTCAAATACCACATTTTTCAGTTCTGCCCTCGGTGAAACGGTATTCACCTATTCGCAATAGCGAATGCAGATCCCAGGGCTCGATCCCTAGACCTTACCTTACCTGTGTACATTACCTGTGTCGACCCTAGGAGTTGAACCCACGACCTGTGTCTGTTCCCACAGTTCGTAGACTGTCGAGATTGTAGGGGTTCGATCTGTAGACCTGTTGAATAGTGGTCTTAGGGAGTCCTCGAAGTCGTAGCTGTAGGACCCCTGAAAGGTCAAGGTCGTAGCTGCTGCAGTCCTGAAAGGTCAAGGTCGTAGCTGCTACAGTATCTGAAAGGCCAGGACTGAAACTTCCAGAAGGTCCTGGTACTGGCCTTTCGAAGCTGCGCACGTTTAGGCTGAGGCAAGTGGGCAAGTGGTGGTGTTCACCCGTGCTGAGTCAGCAGTCCCAGTCCTAGTCCAGTCAAGCAAGTACCGCATGGGACTGTGTGCACCACGGGCATGGGAAAGGGGCAGACCAACGAGCTACAGAAGTATAAATCAGGAGGCAGCGCCCGGCCATTCATTCATTCCTGTGTAAGCCATGCGGAAGCGCTGCCACAGTGACTTGTGCGAGGTGGTCTGCAGTGAGCCCGAAGACGAAGTGGGCGAGAAGGAGGGCTTAGCCATAGCCATAGGGATAGCAGCGGCCATAGCCGCCATAGCTGATAGGAGGGTGTAGCATGTGTGTGTGCGTGGGTGTACAGTGTGATGCTTGTGGGATATCCAGGGTGATCCTGTGTGTGTGAACAGAGAGTTGTACCGGCGCTGTGCCGCCATAGCCATTTGAAGTGAACTTGTATCTGAACTGCGCTCTTGGTTACCATAATTCTGAGTTCTGAGTGGGCGCTTGTCGCCAGTTTGCTGCGCAACCTGTTTACATGCATATGAAGTGAGAAAGATAGCGAGTCTGATTTCATCGGGGCTTTTGCGGAAATGCCCCTGGTACCGTACGTGTCACCGGTACTTATAGCGGCTCCCTGTACAGTACGGGGACCAGTCTCGTACCAGTTTTCAGCTGCTGTACTCGTACTCAGTGTGACTTGCTGTTTCGGCATTCGGAATCCAAGACTTCGACTTTGTGCCCTTGCCACTGTGTCTGCGTCCGATCCTCAGTCGTGTCGAGTGAGTGAGTGTGTGTGTGTGCTCTCACTCTCTCCCTCTCTCTCTCCTCTCCCTCGGCTCTCCCTCAGCCTCGCGCTCATCACACCCTCTCTCTCTTTTCTAGTAGGTATCTCTCTGTCTCTCTCTTTTCTAGTAGGTATCTCTCTGTCTCTCTCTTTTCTAGTAGGTAGATTTCTCTCTCTCTCTCTCTCTCTCTCTCTGTCGCTGTCTCTCTCTCTCTTTCTCGCTCTCTTTTCTTGTAGGTAGATGTCGGTCGCTGCTCCAACAGCATCTTATCGAGCCATGTGGCTGAAATTGACACCATCGGGGAGAAAAGCTAAGGGTGTCGGGTGGGTTCTTATAGCGATTGCTAATACCATCGTTGGGATTAATGGTCCTCTCTGTCTCTCTCTCTCCCCAATCATGCGTTCCGTGAGACAGAGCTACCCAGCCGTCGATAGAGCTTATCAGTAGTTTACAGGCGGCAGTCTAGCTTCGGATGAACTGACACCCCGTATGAGAGAAGTTGGAGAGGACACTGTACTAGTCGTGAGAGCTATGGCTGCCGAACTAAGGGTACGATAGAGAGATGCAGCATCGGGCAGACACGTGGCAAGATCACGAGGGGTCACTAGGGGTCATGTTGGAATCATTCCCCTACGGGCAGGCCGCCACATGTGTTGTTTCCATAGACTGCCGCGTATGTCTCTCCTCCATAGACTGCGCTGTGTGACTAAGGCAGTTATGGACTGATTGATCAGAGTGCGAGAGAATAGAGTATGGGGAGGTAGATATCTCAGGTGCAGACACGTGGCAAGCTCATGAAGGGTCTTTCTGGTACCCCCCCCCCCCTGGTGCAGGTCTGGTCTACTACATAGACTGCAGCCTGAGTCCAAGGCAGAGAAGTTCTGTGGAATAAGACGAAGAGGGAGTATGAGAATGTAGATAGCTAGGTACTAGAGGAGTCGGTAGATGCATGATGAGCATACACTTGGCAGGTTGAGTCCAGCATCTTGTCAGACTGCAGCCTGAGGCCAAGGCAGAGAAGTTCTGCGGAGTATGAGAATGTAGATAGTTAGGTACTAGAGGAGTCGGTAGATGCATGTTGAGCATACACTTGGCAGGTTGGTCAAGCGTCTTGTCAGATCTGTTCCTACCGGCAGGTCGCTCTATGTCCGGTCTGCACAGATCCTTGGCTGCAGGTAATGAAACGTTGCCAAACATGTGGGAGGACTACAGCTCTCCTTGTTTTGTTTTCCTATGCTCTAGCCCACAAGCCAGGTCAGTCCGAAATAGCCAAACAATCTAGGAGGGCTGCAGTTCTCTATGCAATATCTCTGTGCTGTTGGCCCACAAGCCAGGTCAGTCCGAAATAGCCAAACAATGTAGGGGGGATGCAGTTGTCTATGCAATTTCTGTGTTGTTAGCCCCCAAGCTACGTCAGTTCAGAAAAGCCAAATGTGTGGGAAGGGTACAGTTCTTTACACAAATGACGGCAGTAAAAAATAACCACCAAATAGCCCCCCAAATAGCCCCCCAAGTATACCCCCGAAGAGCACCCCCAATAGCCCCCCAAATAGTGCTCAAAATAGCACCCAGAATAGACCCCAAAATAACCCCCCAGAGTTTTTTATTCTCTAGCCCGCTGGCCAGAGTTGTCGAGTATAACCCCCATGGTTTGCTGCATTATATCCTACGAGTGCGGTCATTTGCAAAAGGTAGTATAGTTTCTGTTGTCCTCCCCCAAACACAATGAGCACTGTTCATGAATGCATACAAGCTATCTTTTCATCCTATCGTCTTCCACTAAACACAATCAGTGCTGATCATGAGTGTACTATACAAAGTTACAAACTATCTTTTCGGTCTGGTACGGTCATGATGAGGGTACATTGTGTTCGGGGGAAGATGTTAGGAAAGCTAAAGGTTCCTCTGTACAAGCGAAGTCTGTCCAAACTAGCCCCCAGTTGGTGCAAAATAGGCCCCATCGTTCTCTGTTCTCTAGCCCTACAAACAAGCCTCCAATTCAAAATAGTTTACATGCTTCCTTCAACCTAGTCTAGTTGTCTGGTGGATAAGGTACAAAGTAGAAAAAGGAAAAATAAAACAAACAAACATCTGAAAGATTGTGGCTGCAACCAAGCTCCGATGCGGTTTCGCTTGTCATTTCTTGTATGTTCTCATCGATGACATGATGAACCCCGAAGGAAGATCATGACAGGCACATTCTTGTTGACTCTGCTGAGGGAGACTTTGACATGTAGCATGTGTTCTTCCCCCTGTTTGGTGGGGTTTTGCAGGAGCTAGAGCCATGGCAAATCAAGCGCGTGATGGAGCTGAACAACTACAAGCCGGGTGACAACCGGCTTTCATGGGATGAATGGAAAGCCAAACAGAAGGTACAATTCATGGGGGGGCAATATCTTTCACGAAGGGGGAGGGGGGGAAGGCTCACAAGAGTCAGAGCTGCGGAGCCAATCCTTCCAGTCATTTATTTTCTGGCGGATATTATTCAATGCCGCGTCCATCTAGGGCCTGACATACATCCTTCTTCTACCAGTCAAGAGTTTTCTTGTAAGAGAATTTGCACAGTCTCATCTCTTCTGTCTGGGGCATGGCATACATCCTTTTCCTCCCTGTTCTTGGACTTTGAAGTTCCTGTAAGGGATGGTTTGTGATTGCATCTATTGCTAAGTTCCGACTGGCAGTTTAGTCAGTGTGCTGTTTTGCTGGAATGCCTTTTGTTGGCTGTGTTGGCTTGTTTTTTGCATCCCACATGGCATAGTTAACTGCCATGTCGGCAGCCCCCTGTCCACCTCACACATCCCTTCAGCATGCCCGTGGCACTTGCTCTCTTGTCTGTAGTTTTTTTCTGATCTCAGGAACAAGCACTAGAAAGCTGGAGAAGCGGTTAACAGAGCGCTTGGGGGGTTAATTCCTGATTGAAAGGGGGGTCCCCGTTGACCACTTGTGGAAAACTGTGATCAGCTTCTGATGGGCGAAACACTAATTAGGCAGGACACTAGAAATCGGCCTTTTCAGTTTTGTATAGTTCCAAAGCAGTGCGAGGATTTGGCTCTCGGCTGGCCTAAGGGGCCCATTTTTGGCCTGTGCCCGCCCTAAGTGAAGGCGGGCCTGAGAAAATCACGAGGGGCCCATTTTTGGCCTGTGCCCGCCCTAAGTGAAGGCGGGCCTGAGAAAATCACGAGGGGCCCATTGTTGTCAATTTCGCATTTGGGGTTCAGGCAGTTGCATCGCGTCAGTTGGTTGAAGGAACCCAGGCCACGGCCAGCCACACTATGTTTCGGCCTTCTAGGCCTATCTTCGAGGCAGGCCCTGGGCCGCATCTGCAGCAGTATACACGACAAGCAGTTGGGGCCGTAACAAAACGGGGCCCAGGGCAGTAGCAGTACAGGCCCAGCTACCCGGGGCCTACCGGAAGCTTCTGGGCACAGGCCCAGCCCAACCAGGCATTATACAGGTCAGACTCTTTCCATATAGGAAAGAGCTCGCTGCCTGGCCGGTCATTCGGGCACTTGCCATTCATGCAGCAGCGCTGCTTGAGCGAGTGCTCGCATGCTGTAGGCAGCGGTAGGCAAGGTGCTCGTGCACGTGCGGTCGTGTGTGAAGGGCGCTGCTGAGGGCAATGCCATAACTCGACTTTTATAGCTGGCTGGGCTTGGGTGAACAGCAAGGGGTAGTGGTGGTCTTCATGTGTGTGAAGGAGAAGAAGTGGGTGGAGGACAAGAGGGAGAGAGTGAGAGGAAGAGATGAGGATGATGACGTGAGGGCACATACCTGGTATTGGTGATAGTCTGCATGGGGCGACATCTTCATGTACTTCGGTGACTGCGGACGTCAACAGTTGCATCGTCAATTCGTAGGCAGGAAGTAGCTGTGTGATAGTAGTCTGGGTGCTGAGTGCCAAGTAGGAGGAATGGCTCTGGATACTTATGTGGGTGATGGCGAGAGCAAGCTCTCATTGACACTTGGATTCAGTGTTGGTGTAATATTGGTGCAATTCTTCTTTCTGGACAGTGTGGGACTTTCTGGCTTTCAATGTGATTGTGCAATCTGGAATCTGTCATTTCGCTATTGCTCATTTTCATTGCAATTTGGTATCGGAGCTATTTCGAATTACACTTGCTGGTTCTTCGCAATAGAAGTTCGGTGCTTCACATGTGATGGTGGGGCAGTGATAATGCTTGGGCGTTGAACGTGCGGCGGCCCAGGGTCGTGTGGGCGCGCCAGTAAGGCTATGAGGTGACATTGGGGTGTACGCTGGATGATGAGAACTTGCTGATGTGGCATTTAAGCCGAGGTGGAACTGCATTTCGGTGTTTGTTGTGCCAAGGCAAAGACCGATCATCATAAATGAACGTCAGGTTGCCAGTGAGAAATCTGTGGTTGGGGGCAGCATTATGAGATACGTTGCCCTCATCCTTATCTACCCTCTTCATTGCTTCTTACCGTGAGGAAGTGAGTTCTGTCTTGAGAGTCCTCTTGATGTGAGGTGTCGCGAGCGCTCAACCTTGAGAGTCGACATTCTTCCTGGGCAGCAAGCTGGTGGGAGACGGGCGAAGCCTTTGAAGGGCCCTGGACAAAGCACTTGGGTCACGGTCACCCGCTGGGATTAGTACACACATGCTTTGGCGCAAGTCCTTGGTTCTGCTTGCTGCGTTGTTAGAGGTCATGCTGGGCATGCCAGCCCTATAAGAGGCGCTCACCAGACCGTCTATAAATATTTCCGGTGGGTTCCAGTTGAACCTTGGCTGTGATCGTCGTCCTGTCTGCGACGTTAAATAATTCCTGAGGACCTTGGAGGCTGTCCCTGAACTGCCTCTTGAGCAGCCAGATCAACCGGAAGTAAGGCTCGTTGCATGCGAGGATAAATAAGACGTAGGGTTGGCAGGCTTAGCATAGACTTGGGGCACAGGGTTGGGCTGGATTGCACACCTTTAGACACGCTACTCAACCAGATGCTCAGGACGTCGACATAAGTGACTACTCAAGAAGGATACAGGGGGAGGGAAGATTCTGGCAACTGTTCGCCGCTGGACCAGCATGCATCTCCACATGTGATTTATTTTTATTTTTGATTATTTAGTTGTACGGACTTGGTTAACAACTGACAAACAGATGCAAATAGAATATTCCTTGCTGCATTGCATTCTGTTTTATAATAATCTAAAAATGGAAATAAAATTACCTTTCAGGATCGGACGTTGGTTGTGACTACTTTCCTCCACGCTGACCAAAATTAGTTGTTTATTATTACTCGGGTGGGTATCATGTTGAGGTAGGATTCAAAGTGGATTTGAGTTTAGATCACACATCATTGTAGCTCATGAGTGAAGAAGAAATCAGTGAGGAGGAGGAACGATTAGTGGATGGTCTTAGAGTTACTCGCAGATCTGCACTCAGTGGATCGATCACTTTCCTACAACTAGAGCAAGGAGAGGAAAGGAGGCTGTGGAGGGAAGCCATGGAGAGGACGACATTATAGAGGGCTAGGGAAGCAGCAGCCAGAGCTGAAAGGGCACTAGCTGGTGCATTAGAAGCAGAAGCTAGAGCCAACGCCGAGGCAGCCTTGGCTACCGCCTGTACTATGTCACAGGCCTCTCAACTCACGCCAGAAGATTATGAGATCTTACAAGTGGATGCTCTTTATGATGAGTTACGACAGCAATTGAGGGATGTAAAAGGCAAAAGGAATAAGGCTAAAATGAGTAAAGCCAAACTAGGAGCTAGGAGGCAGGAGTTAGGAGAACTGGAAGCACTAGATGAATCAACACTGGATCCTGTGGTCAAGTCACTGCGTCGCTCGCTGCTTTGCGTGGTTGAAACACAGGTAGTGCAGCAGGAATTGTTGGCCGAGTTAGTGGCCGACCAGAATTGCACTCTGGCAGCACTGCAGGCTCCTCGTCCCATGATGAGACAACCGCAGTACTCTGTAGCTCCCTGTACGGTTGCGGGTCCCTCAGTGACGCCGTCGCCGGTAGGGCCCTCTTTCTCTCCCATGTTTAGTATGCCTCTCACAAGTGGTGTAGCAGCAGCTAGTGGTCAGGTCCTTAGGACTTCTCCCCTACCACCAGTGACGGTTGCAGCTACAGTTCAGCCGTCAGGAAAGCCTCAGGTTAGCGTGCAGCAACCTGTCCCAGTGGTTACACAGCCACTGCAGCAAACACCCGGGGCAATCCAACCCATGCAATGGATGCCCAAGATCCCCTTGCTGAGTCCTAAACCCTTATCTGGCGACAAGAAGAGGGAGGACGACCTGGACACTTGGGTGAGGACTATGCCTACTTAGGCACAAGCTCACAAGGCCAAAGCAGGAAGTTATAGTGGCTGCATCCTTTTTGGAAGGCTCTGCAGCACGATGGTTAAATGGTCTGGTGCAGCAACAGAGCTATGGTCAGAACTTCGATGCCTGGGCCCAGGCCCAAATATTGGAAGACTTCGTACGAATTGTGTACAATAGGTGGCATGACGCTCAAGGGTCTCATAAGGTCACTGACTCACTTGCTAGTCTTGGTTCAAAATGGTAGCGGACGGTTCGTGAGGTCACAAACGCCGTAAAACGCCTGATCGTAGTACCTGGCGTGGGCTATAACTCTCAGGTACTCCTTACAACTTGTCTGCGATGTCTGCCCACACATGTCAAGAACAAACTGGTGGATGAGGCCACCATCGATGTCCATAACTTTGCTACTTTCAGCAAGAAGGCCTTAGATATAGAGGCCAAACTTGGAACTGCACAGCAGGGCCCGGTAGATGGTAGGAAGAATAAGCTTCCCCAGGATTGGAGGAAGAAGGGCAATCTTATGTTTGCTGACCACGATGGTTAGGCAACTTAGATTGACGACTTCCCTGACTATGGGGAAGATACAGAGCAGGATGGGGCTAGTGAGACTTCGGATGGGGGAAATAGAAGGTAGGCCGGTCTAAGGGTCAAGGCGACCAAGGGACACCAGTTTGGGTGCAACTTGGTTTAGACTACGAGGTGTGGAGAGACCGAGTTGCTAGGGGCATGTGTCTTAACCGTGGCAACTTTGGCCTCACAGCTAGAACCTGCCGAGGCAAAAAGGTTACAATGAAGGTAGCCTCTCCTACGGTGGTGGGCTTATCCTCTAACTCTGGTAGTGCATTTGCGAGCACTTCGCAGGGAAACACCTCGGGCCAGTACGGATTTTAGCCGCTCTTACTCACGCCGAAGTGGTAATGTTGCCTTCCCCACTTCAAGCGTTGGCCAAGGTTATTGACCCACGAGTCGCCCCGCAGACACATGTAGACCAATCGATGCTTTGTTCGAGAGATGTGTCTGAGTCCTTAAAAGAGTTAGAAGCTCAGTGGTCAGGGAAGGACAACCATCTAAGGGTCTCATGGTCAGAATGCACTTTGAAGTGCCTCCCAAGGAGGTAATGCTTCCAGTGCTCTGGAGCCTGCCTGAGAGCGTAGAGTTCTCTCTCGTACGTTGAGGTGGCAACCTTCTCCGAGGGCATCCTCGCTGACATGAACTCTACGGGTCTATAGCCATTGTCGCCGTCTTGCTGCAACACGGCGCCTATACCATATTGACTCGCGTCCGTGGTGACGACAAAAGGCAAAGATGGATCAACTACTTTGAGGACAGGTACTCTATTAATGCACACTTCAGTTTCTTTAGCGCAGACGTACAGTCTTTATCCCATTGCCAGATTGCCTCTTTCTTAAGCAACCTGCGCAGGGGAGTGACGATAGTAGAAAAGTTCCGCACGAACTTTCTATAGTAGTTAGCTAGGCCTAGGAACGACTGCAACTCTGTCAATGTGCGGGGCGTCGGCCAGTCTCTAATTGCCGCTATCTTGCTGTCCTCAGGCTTAATGCCATCCCCGTCTAATACGTGGCCCAAGTACAGGACTTGTGTCTTGGCCCACTCGCACTTCTTGGCGTTGATCTTGAAGTTAGCCTCTTGTAGCTTCTCCAAGACCAGCCTCAGATGACCCTGGTGCTCCTGGAGGGTCTTACTAAAAACTAAGATATCATCTAAGTAGACTACCACAAACTTATCTAACCATAGTCTAAACAGGTCATTCATACAATGCTGAAAAGTGGCTGGCGCATTGGTTAGTCCAAAGGGCATCACTATAAACTCATAGTGCCCATATATAGTCCGGAGCGCAGTGTTGTACTGATCATCAGGATGGACCTCTATCTGATGATAACCGGACTTCAGGTCTATCTTAGAAAAATACTTGCAAAACCAGACTTCAGGTCTATCTTAGAAAAATACTTGCAACCCTGCACTCGATGTAAAAGATCATCTATCCTGGGCATCGGCTCAACATTCTTCATGGTAATCGCATTCAAACCCCTATAGTCTATACACATACGAAGCTCTCCTTCTTAGGGACAGACAGGACTGGTGCTCCAAAAGGAGACGAACTGGGCCTGATCCAACCTTTCTCAAGGAGCTCGTCTAATTGCTTGCGAAGCTCCTCTAACTCTCTAGGGGACATCCTGTAGACTGCTCCCTTAGGAGTTCTACTGCCAGGCTCTATTTCTATCCTGTGTTGGATGGGTCACGACACTACTCCTGTCGGCGACTCAGTCAAATCTTTGAACTCTTCCAGCAGCTTGGCAATCGTTGGATGGGTCACGACACTACTCCTGTCGGCGACTCAGTCAAATCTTTGAACTCTTCCAGCAGCTTGGCAATCGTTGGATCTGTGGAAGTCACCTCTTCCCTAGCCTCAGTGACAGGTCTGACATAAACTACAAAGACCTGTTCCTCTAATCGCTCCTTCTTCACGAATCACGCGAACGCGGGAGCACTGAGGCAGCAATGCGCCAAGGTGTTATCTACACCTGACACATGAAACAGGCGGGCAGTCTTAACCTCGCCTGACGGGCTGCCTACACTCATGCTCTCTCAAATGGAGTGTGGCCCCTGTTGCCTCTCCCCAATCCATTCCTAACACTACATCAAAAGGAAGGTCATCCTGTACGAGGAGAGTCAGGGAATGGAGAACTTTCTCCACTTTCCCATCCTTCTCTAGGCGAAAGTACACCTGGACTCCCTCTACATAGTCATCAACACGCATTGTGCGGTTGTCTGCGAGGACACTGATTATGGGGTCGGCCAATTTTTGGACTTTTAATCCTAGCCTCAACTTTTTCAGCGCCCTGCGGCTAATATAACTGCGGGTGGCCCCTGAGTCTATAAGGGCCCCTACTCTACTCCTGAAAACTTCTACGTCTACCAGGATTAGTTGTCCTTTACTCTCTTTCTTCATTTTGGCCCAGGCTGGCATCCTCTCCTTTAATTCTTCTGCCACACCTGTGAGGGACGTGCCTAGCGAGACGCTAACACAAGCAGTCTCTGGACAACTATCTAGGCACGAGCCTGCAACCTCTGCCATAAGCTCATGTGGGTTGGGAGTGTCCTGTTCGCGCACACTCACTTCTCCACATGGCCTTAAAGTAGGGGCAGTTGCAACCCCTATTGGCGGCTGCCTTTTGACTGCTGGGCATACTTAGGACAATATTTAATGACATGGGCCGGGTCACCACAGAATACGCACTGACCCTGGTCCACGCCCTCCTGCCATATGCGCTGGTCCAAGCCCAAATCTTCCCAGGGCCTGCCTTGTGGCAAGCCTGGGTGCCATCCTCCTTGAGGTGCCCTTCCACCCCTTCGCTGTGAGGACCGATTAGAACCTTGGCGATTTGGTGGGGGACCTTGACCCCTACCTCCCACTTGGCGGTTTCCCTGTCCGCCAACCCCCTGTGCGCCCGGCCCTCGGCCTCCCATGACCTGGCTCTTTGGCCTTGGCCTCCTCCTCTACCTTGCGGCCTCCCTCCAGCCTCGACAACAGCATAAGACCTCCCCTGCCCCATACTACTGTACTCCTCCTCTAGGCCCCACTCAGTCTGACTGTATGGGACCTCATCAGTACCACCTTCCTCTAAAGTAAGGATCATGTGATCCTTAGCCCTCACTTGGCCCGAGATGGTACGACCTTTCCACCTTTTCCCCTTATCTAAGTCCTTGTGCCAGAAGGTGGGACTTTGACTCATACATGACGACTTCTCTACTCAATGCAGTGATGCCGGCCTGTTGAGATTTGTCAAAGAAATGCCCACGTAGGGCCTCTGGCATGGCACGATAAAATAACTGAACCAACTGGGGCTCAGTGACCCCATGGTCTGGGACGGCTACCAAGTCGTCCATTGTACCCTTGAGTGCCCTTGCACTCCGCCACTATCGTGAGTGGATCGTTTGTAACTTATCAGAGGCGCGAACGCCTCTCGTTGGGTCCGCAAACCGCTCCTTCAGGAGCTTAAAGAATTGAGGAAGGGGGGTGACTTTAGAGTAAGCAACCAGGTTGTTCTCACAACCGGCTGCGCGCGCAAGGGACCTGGCAAAACTAGCCGCCTCATCCTTAAGGGCCTGGAAGGCCACGAGGACTTGTTCCTCTGACAGGATATGCTGTAGATATATGTAACTGTTGACACTGGCCTCCCAGTTGTCAAAGTTCTCCTCCTTCTTTCCCCCGTATGCGTCTGGGAACTTGAGCTTAACTGGGTCCTTACGGGGTCTGGCCTAGCCCTCTACAACGGCTATTGCTTTGGCACCCTCAATGGCGCCCTCACAAAACTTCCCTACGTTATCCCTCAGTTGCCTGACTTCGCCCCCAATGTGGGTGACGATCTCTCACGCAAAGTCTCTAAATCCCGACCGCATGGCACTCAGGGCTACCTCTTGGCTCCAACCGGCCTGGTGCTCCTCCATCCATGCTGTGCTCAGCACCTCCAAGTAACCCAATACCTTATCCCATTTGGCCTTATCTGGTTGGGCCAACACCTCTCTCTTACAATCTTGCACTTTTGCCACCTCTGCGGTCAATTTATTAACTTCCTCTCTCCTCCTCTTCTTCTCCCTCTTCATTCTCAACTTCCATGCCAACTTTTGCTCCTCCTCCCTTTCTCGCCGTTCCATAGGATCTGTCATTGCTGCTAGCTCGCTGGCTAGCGCATCCCTCTCATCTTGAGTCACATAAGACTCTGCCTCCTCATCTTCTCCCAACGATAAATTAGCGACCCACTCACTTATCCTTTTCTCCATCTCTACAATTGTATCCCTGTTCATCGTGCCACTGCTCCCTTCTCCACTCTCAATCCGCATTCTCTCTTTCTCTTCTTCTGCTGCTACTTCTGCTTCAGGAGCCTTTCTTCTTTCTTCCTCCTCCTGTTGAATCCTCTTCATCTCCTCCTCCAATTTCTTCATCTTCACCGTATGTTCCTCTGCGATAGCCTTTAGCTTCGCCTGCTTCTCAAGCTCCTTCCTCTCTTTGTTCTCTTTGACTAAGACGACGATTTTCTCTTGCTGCTCAGGGGTGTATGGGCTAGTATTCTTCCCACTACGCAAGTCCACCATGATGATAAGTGTGCAACCGGATTAGTGGTTCCAAACCTATTGACTCAATCTAAGGACTCACAGAATCCTGACAAGGATCCTGTCAACTATGGTCTCTAGCCTGGACCTAACTATGGCTGTCACTACTAGACCTTTTGCTGATCAGGAGGCATTTAAGGAGATCCCCCGAACTCCTCAGAAATTAACGTCGCAGACATGACGACGCGATCAGCAGGTCTCTCAAGATTTAGACGGTCTGTTGTGCAGCCCACAGCTCGGATTTCGAGGCCTACCGTGCCACACCGAGCAGCCTGCCGGTCAATACCGGTCCTTGGGAGGGTTTGACCTCCGGGACAGTCGAGTTGTCAGACACAGCTTTTAGCCCTACTCATCCCGTGTGGGTTTGGTCAACAAGACCTTATCCTTCATCCACAGAGTACTATCACTTAGGACAGAAGAGACTCGATCCAGAAAGAATAGACAGACAGACTGGACTCAGCAAATACCAAGGGGTGTGTGCACATCCATAGGGCGAGGGATAGGCTGAGGGTTTGTCGAGATGTTATCGGCTCCAGCTTGGTCAAGGTCTTGGTCAACGCCGGTCAACGGCCTTGGTCAACGCTGCTATCAGCCCCTGGTCACCCCCCGGTCAACTCTGGTAACCGCCGGTCAACACCTCCGGTCAACTCTTCTGGTCAACCCTCCGGTCAGCTATGGCTGCCGGCTTCTCTTTCTCGCCAGCCCTCGTCTTCCTTTCGCCTTCCTCGCCTCCTTTCACCCCGGCTGTCTTCTTCTTCTCTTTTTTTTTTTTTTTTTTTTTTTTTT